CTATCTTACGCTACCTATCAAGAGCTTTTCTTGAGAGAAAGAGAGAGAAGAAGAAGAGCCAAGTATGGCATACACACCTAAAGCCCTAGCACATGAAAGATGGAGGCCAAGAGAGAAGTTAGAAGCTCAAGGCCAGCCATGGCTACATACCAAATTCAAGGCTAGCCTAATCTACTTGAGAACCTGTTTCAAAATACAAAAACAGGCTGGGCGTGGTGGCACATGCCTTTAATCCCAGCACTCTGGAGGCAGAGGCAGGCAGATCTGTGTGCAGCCCTGGCTGTCCTGGAATCACTTTGTAGACCAGGTTGGCCTGAATAAGGCATGGCGACCCAGACCCGAAATCCAAGAACTCCAGAGGTGTAGTTAGGAGGATCGGGAGGAGTTTGAGGCTAGCTTGGTCTACAACAAAGAGAGAGTTCCAGGACAGCTGGAGCTATTACACAGAGAAACCCTGTTTTGAAAACAAACAAGCAAACACAAAATAAACACGTGGGATGGAATGAAGGGATGGCTCCGTGGTTAAGAGCATTCTTCCAGAGGACCTGAGGACCTACACTATCGCTCATAACTGTCTGCAATTCCACTTCCAGAAGAGTTGACACCGTCTTCTAACTTCCTTGGACATCAGGCAAGCACATGGCACACATATATACATACAGGCAAAACACTTATGCACATAAGCAAACAAACAGAATAGCTAATAAGATGGTTCAGTTGGTAAATGCACTTACCACCAAGCCTGAGAACCTGAGGTCAATCACTGGAAGCCGTAAAGCCAGCCCCTCCAGGTTGTCCTCTGACTTTCACACGTATCTGTGGGTCATGTGCACACACACACACTCCCATGTAGACACGCATGCAAACAACATGAAAACATGACCCTGTGTCTTTTTGCATTCAGCTTCCCTTACCCCAAACTTTGCCTGATCTGTAGAGCCGAGTCCTTTTTATCCATAGTCAATGTAAATCACTTATATTTTTCTTTCCCTCGGTTTTCATGATAAAGAGACTCTGGCTTTGTAGATTCTGGAGCCGTCTTTCCAGCTGCTACCTAGCCTTGCTACTGGGTGGAGCCAGAACTCGTCCAGTCTTCTGGCCAATATCATTGTGATGGTTTAATAAGCCATCTTATTTCAGGGAAACCTCTGTCTCAAGAGCTGTGAAAGGGTAGACCAGTCCAAGTTGGGCAACTTCAGCCTGGGCTTAGGGCACTGAGATGTGGGGCAAGCATGTGGGCAGAGCTGTCTCAGTTTCTCTGCCAGGGAAGAGGTAATGTCATTCAAGGCTGAGCTGGCCAGGTTTAGCTAGGGTGAGATAAGGTCACTCTGCCCAGATGTCACTATGAGAGCGAGATGGGAAACCTAAGGGAAGCTGAGATAGGAGTGGGTATCTGCCCATTAACTGCAGGGGGAAACTGAGGCTCTGAAAGATCTTGAAAGTTTTGCTATTCAAGAACTTGGCAGAAGGTCCACATCTTGTCTCTGAACCAGGGAGGCTGTAGGTATGGGAGACTTTTGTAGTGGACGACAATACGTGATGGAAATCAAGAGTCCTTTTTGCAGCCAAGGATGGTGGTGCATACCTTTGATCTCATCACTCAGGAGGAAGAGGCAGGTGGATCTCTGAATTTGAGGTCAATGTGGTCTACAAAGCAGGTTCTAAGACAGCCAGGCCTACACAGAGAAACCCTAGAAACCCTGTCTAAAAAAAAAAAAAAAAAAAAAATTCTCCTTTCCCCCCGTCCTAGGGTGGGGATTTGTTTGGCCTTCTGCTCACCTGCGTGAGCCTTGCTCCTGTCCCAGCTCCTATCTTTTGGGATAATACAGGTTGGCAGATACCTCTGGGCACCACGCCAGCTTCTGTCTCCACAGGTTGAACACCCTAGATGTGACTGGGAGCCCCTTTCCAGGCAATTTCTGAAGGAGCCACTAGGGCTCATGGAAAACGGTTGCTTATGGCATAAAGGCATCCAGTTGAAGAGTCACTTGACACCATGTCACGCTAGATAGCGCAACAGGAATGCATGGGTCCAGGTTGCCTGGGGTAGGCTGTCTTTTCCAGCTAGCACAAAAGTGTTGGAAGGACTGGCACTGCCTTCTGGAGGAGGGCCCATCAGAATGTGTAAATGCAAGTGCTCACACCAAAGCTGTGCGTGGCGGCACATGCCTTTGATCCCGGCAGAGGCAGAGACATTCGGATCTCTGTGAATTCCAAGCCAGCCTGGTCTACCTGGTGAGTTTCAGGACAGCCAGAGCTACATAATGAGACCCTGTCTCAAAACGAAAACAAACAAACAAGCTCACATAAACCAGGCACAGTTGTAATCCCTAATCCCAGCCCTTGGGAGGTAGAGGCAGACAGATCCACTAATTTGAATCCACCCTGGTCTATATAGTGAGCTCCAGGCCAGCCCGGGCTGTATAGCAAGGAGCTGTCTCAAAACAAAATAACTGTGATTGCACAAGGAGGAACCTACTTCTTTGACTTCTCAGGGTTGCCATGGAGATGGCTGGCAACAGGAGCTGCTCAAGCACTGCTCAGAGAATGCTTCCCAGAGGAACGGAGGTGAGTGCTCCAGGTCCTGCTGGAAAGCACCTACCACTAGTGAGCTCTGCTACAGAGACCGTCTCAGCTCGTGGCTGCAAAGGTTGTCCCATCCCCATGGATGAGCTGATCTGTACAGGGAAAGGAGCACATGGGTGGCGAGAACCCCACTTTTTTGTTTGTTTGTTTGTTTGTCTGAGACAGGGATTCTCTGTGTAGCTCTAGCTGTCCTGAAACTCACTGATTAATCTGCCTCTGCCTCCCGAGTGCTGGGATTAAAGGCGTGTGCCACCACCACCTGGCAAGAGCTCCACTTTTGCCTGCCAGGGCTTGGGCACTGACTAGAGCCTCAGATTATGTCCTAGCAAGCCCTAGCTGCCTCTTCCTCCTGCTGTGGCTTTGGGCTGCATGCTCTCAGCCTCTGAGCCTCCTCTTCTCTAGTAAGGCTGCCAGAGCCTGTATGGAGACACTGGGCAGGGAATCTGAGGAACAGCCTTATGAACCCCAGATAAAACCATTATTAAGCTTTGGGTACCCCCATTGAGTGAGCAACAGGAAGGGAGGGAGGTGCCTGAGGCCCCATGTGTCATTTATCTTTCCCTTGTGTAGTGGGGATAGACTCCAAGGCCTCACACAAGCTAGACAAGCACTCTTCCACCAAGCTATTTTGCACAGCTCTGTTTCCTTTCTTGTTTTGAGACACAGTATCCCTAAGTTACCCAGACTGGCCTTGAACTTAGTAGGCCAGGCAGATCTTGAACTTGTGGCTCTCCTGCCTCAGACTCCAGTGTAGCTGAGAATGCAGCTCCACCAGACCTGCCTATTCTAAGTATTTAACACAGGAGCCCTCCAGGAGAATAGGCCAGGGTTGGGGGCGGGGCTGCTGGTTCATGGGATGCCAAGAATGGAGGTTATGGTAAACCTTTGGTCTGTCATGGTAGTAAGGATTTGGCCAAGTTCTCTCTACTTCCAAGCCTCAGTTTCCCTAGGAAGTGTATAGTAAGGGTCTGGCCTTCTATAACTTTTTCCTCCAGGGCAGGCTCAATGTGAGGGGAACAGGTTGGCTTGCACTTGGCAGATGCCAGAACGCATACATGGCTCACTTTTTCGGCAGAGCATAGGGAAGGAGGGTGAAACAGGGTCTTACTGGTAGCCCAAGCTAGCCTTCAAACTCGATCCTCCTACCCCCACTTCCTGGGCACCTAGATCATGTGTATCATCAGGCTCTGCTCACAGAATGCATTTCTATAGCCTCATGACTAGAACATTCCAGATCCAGATTCTGATCAGGGACCAGGTGAAAGTCCCAGCACAGCTGATAGGACCCCCCCCCCCAACACCAGGGACCCACACCTATTACACCTAGGAGGGTATGCTGGTGTGTGGCTTCCCCTTCGCACACCTGCTCTTCCTCCTATCACGAGGAGCAGACACCAGGGACTTTGTCGTGGCCAGGGTAGTGCTGTCACACCCGCAAGGACACACTGACCCGAGGATCAGAGGATCTGAATCTCACACAGGGGAAAAATCATTCAAAAAAAAAAGGACACACCCCTGAGCCAGGAAGAACACCAGGTCTTAGTCCATTGCCTCATCAACTTTGCCCCTTCCTTTGCTTGAGGTAGAGCAGCATTGCTGGTTTCCCTTTGACTCAACGCTGTGCCCTTCTCCCTAAGCGGAGCACCCGCCTTCACCTTTCCTCTGATCAGTCTCACTTCTCTGGCCTCCACCACAGCCACTGCACGGTTTCCCACAGAAAAGGGGGCGGTGCTCCAAACCCTTCTCCTCAATTCCTGCCTCACTCCCACCTTCTGGTGCTGGGAAGCTACTCAGGGAGTCAAGAGAGACAGGGCAACTAGGACTCAGCTCTGTGGAGACAAGGCAGCATCAGAATCAGCCCTGTTGTCTTGACAATGGCTCATGTCCCAAGCACCCTAGGCACCCACAGGGGCAATTAGTGAGTGTGGGAGAGGGTTTCCATGGTGGCGGTCCCGAGGGGGTACACCAGGGCTTAGGGAAGAACAAGGGCCAGCAGGACCTTTCTCCTTTGTCCGGAGCACACTGGGCCTTTGTTTCTTTCTGGCTCTCTTTGACAGATGGGGCCAGGAGCATGGTTGGGGAGGCCAACATGGCTTAGAGTCCCCCATCCAAGGGAGGCCTGAGCCATGTGGGGGAGGCAACGGGAGGCTGGAGTTCCTCTGGGGCCCAGATCTCACTGGGGAGTCTTCCTCTGGCGGGTAGAGAAGCTTGACCTGTACCCTAGAGGCTGGGGCAAGGTGGCTTACTACCGGCTCCTCTTCCCTGTAAACACCTTGCCCAGCAGCCAATGAGCAGCCTCGGTGTGTCCCCATAGGCAGCTTGGACAGGAAGGGTGGATGAAGGAGGGAGGAGCATTGCAGTAAGTCCAGGGTGGACAGTGGAGGAACATTTAATCCAACTTTATCAGACATCTTCTCAGTCAGGCTTTATTTGAGGTTTCGTCCGCGAGAAGCCCCTGGGGGTAGCATATCCCAGCCAGAACTTCACCCCAACACTCCTTCAGTGCTGGTTGGGAGGCTGGCAATGGCAGGCACCAGACAGGTCCCCACAAGCTCCACTTCGTGACCTTCCTTTATCTTTGTGCCTGACACCAAGTGGGGAGACACTTCCCTCCTCAAGGTGGTTCTAGCTGGAAACAGAGCTGTCACAGAGCCCAGCAGAAACGTTCAGCACACATTTTGGGCACTGTCTTCATTGTTCAGAAGATTGAGCTATGGTGGCTCTAAGTGCACAGTATGCTCAGAAGCGGGTGTCCAGGAAAGAGGCGGAGCCTCGGTGGGACCTGGATGGACCCTCAATAGGGGGTCCCCGGGCCCTTGTCAGGAGCCCATGGAAAGTCTTTCCACGGGTCTGTGGCTTGCGTCGTGGTGGCCTGGGCTCCTCCGGGGGCTGCACCACAATTCGGGGTATCTCAGGTTTGGTGCCTCCTCGCACCCCTGCCAGCTGCTGGGATTCAAAGATGGCTTGGGCTCCAGGAAGGCGGTCCTGCGGCAGAGGGGCTGGCCCAGATGACGACTTGGGCAGCTGGGCCAGCTGGATCCTAATTTCCCGTTGCAGGTCTCGCTCAGAGAGGGCTACACTGTGCACCTGTGGGGAACAGTTTGGTGCTGACTTTGCCTGAACTAGGGTGTCAGGGAGCAGGAAGCCTTGAGGTCCCCATGGGGCAGGCAGTACACAACCCCAGGAAGTGGCTGAGGGCTGAGACACAGCATTGCTGGGACCCGAAGAAAGACAGCTGAGGCCTGAGGTTCTCACATTCTCTGCAGCTCAGGGCACAGGAACTGAGCCTTGCTCTCACTGAGGCTCGGCTTCCCGAGTTCTGCAGCATGGGCAAGAGCACTGAGGCCTGCCAGCGGAGATACCCACCTGGGACATGAAGGCCTCTTCCTGCAGCTGGGTGGGGGGGATGGCTCGCAGGGCCCCCAGTGTCTCCAGGAGCCCTGGGCAGGCTGCACGCTGTTCTCCAGTGCCCAAGGCCAGGCGCATCAGTGTCAGCCCCACACGGAACAGTACCTTGGCACCTGCGGGGAAAGGAGAAGCTCACTCACAGGAAACCAGCCTGCCCCCTTCAGTTCTTCAGCTGAATCAGCCTTCAGATAAGCTTCTTCTACCTCACTGCACCCAACTCATTTCACCCAACTCAGGCTTGGGAAAATGGCAAAACACTGCAATTTGCTTATTTTTTGAGACAGGGTCTCATGGAACCAGGCCTCCATCTGCCTATGTAGCCGAGAATGACACTGACCTGAGTCTCCTGTCTCTTCCTTTAGAGAGTGTGTGACACCACAGGTGGCTTGGGGTTTTGTTTTGCTTTTTGAGACAGTCTGACTTTATAGCTATGGTTGGCTATGGAACTTACTATGTAGCTGAAGTTGGCCTCTAACTCACAGTGATCCACTAGCTTCTGCTTCCCAAATGCTGGATTAAAGGTATGTGCTACTATGCCCAGTTTGTTTTGTTTTGTTGAGACAGGGTCTCACTGTGTAGCTCAGGCTGACCTGGAATTCATTATGTAGCACAGATGGTCCTGCACTTGAAGCAATTCTCCTGCCTCTGCCTCCTGAATACTAGAGTTACAGGTGTGTGCCACCACACCTGGCTATTTATTTAGTGTGTGTGTATTGTGTGCCTGCCATATCATGACATGTGAAGGTCATAGAACCTCTTGTAGGAGTCAATTCTTGTCTTTTACCATGTGAGACCTGGAGAACAAACTCAAGCCAGCAGGTTTGACTGCACACACCCTTAACCACTGAGGTAGCTAGCTCATCAGCCCACACACCTGGCTTCTTGCTTTCTTGAGATAGAGCCTTACTCTGTAGGTCACACTGGCCTGGAACTATGACCCAGCCTTGTCTTGACCTCACAACAATCCCCCTATCTCAGCTGGAGGCTGGGATTATAAATGTGAATTATGATGCCTAGAAGGAATACTACAATTTGAGGGCACAGGACCCTGCAGGAGCCAAGCTAGTCTGGTGCAGACACTTCCAGGCAGGGCAGCCAGCCAGGAGCCAGGGGCTGCTAACAATCTTATGCCAAGCCTTCTCTGATCTCAGCATCTCAGCATCCTACACTTCCAGGAGTAGTGGGGTCGGTGCCTATTAAGGACTTCCCATCTTGAATCTGTCACCTTCTGATTCTAGGAAGGTTCTGGGCAGAGCTTATTTTCGTCCTAAACCAAAAACATAGCACTGGTATATATACAAACACACACACACACCTTGGCCAGTCCTAAGTCCTCACAATCCCTTTCTGGCATCCTCTGAACCACTAAGAGCAGCTAGCGTGCCAGGGAGTCTTAGCAACAACTTATCAAGGAACAAATGCTACCAACAATGTCATCATTGTTATTACAGGGAGCCTGTGCAGAGCTTTTCCCCAGGTAGAGGGGACAAGGATCAGGTGGACCACCATGATCAGCCCCTTCTTGATGAGGTCTGAGGCTAGAGGGGAGGTGACATGTGTGCTTTGGATACATGTGACATAATTTTCTTCCTTCCTTCCTTCCTTCCTTCCTTCCTTCCTTCCTTCCTTCCTTCCTTTCCATGATTTCCTTTTTTCTTTTTCTTTTCTTTCTTTTCTTTTTTCTTTTTGTTTTTGTTTTTTAGAGACAGGGTTTCTCTGTGTAGCCCTGGCTGTCCTGGAACTCATTTGTAGACCAGGCTGGCCTTGAACTCAGAGATATGCCTGCTTCTGCCTACCCAGTGCTGTGATTACAGGCCTGTGCCACCACACCCAGTTTTATGCAACTCTGGAGCCTGGGCCAGGGACCTATTGCATACTAAGCAAGCATTCTACCAACTGAGCTAGTACATTGGCAGCCCAAACCTGAACCTGTCTGTAGATCAATCTCCAGACGGGCGGCATAAAGCAGAGCCCTAAAGATCAGCTTGATGCTCTGATGCGCCTTCCACTCTCCGCCCTGCTGTACCCCTTTCTACCCTTCTCTCCCTTCTTCCCAAGAGTCACCTGGGTTGGCCATGGCCTGGTTTTCCTGCCTGTGGTGGCCTTCCTGGCCTCTAACTTCCTCCTGCTTGCTTCCCAGGTTACCTCCTCTACAGAGCAGCCAGAACCAGCTTTAAAAACAGCTTCCACCTCCTGCTGCTCTCCTGACACTCTGTCACATCCCTTGATTTATTTTCTTTGTGGCACTTATGACATTCTATAAATATCTTCTTAATTTAGGTACTGCCACCTCCTAGCCCCACCCCCACCAATGAAAGTTTCATGAGCTAGCTGTCAGAGCCAGCTTTGCTAGGCTACTCAGGAAGAGCCATGGGTTCAGGGCCCTAAGAAGGAGCTGTGGACCCTGCCTCACCCTTGCACGCCCTGAACCAGTCACACACCACAACATGTGCTTCCACCACCCTGGTTCCTGCACACAGAACCCCCACCAGAGGCTTCCCTGTCCTCTGGCCTCTCACAGACGAAGAGGCTCTCATTCACCACTCTGGGACCGTGTCAGTGAGATGGGCTGTTTTCTCCACAGACACATCCGGGTCCATGTGACATAAGGCTCCAAAAGGGCCGAGAGTGGGAGCCACAAGCACAACAAATCTAGAAGAGCGAAGAGCGAGCTGGCCCCCCCCCCCCCCCCCCCCCCCCCCCGCCGGGGCCCCACTCACCCTCGCTAAGGAAGGCATCCCAGATGCGCAGCACGGTGGGGAAGGGCAGCGAGCGGGTGAAGAGGCACAGGAACCACTCAGGCAGGTAGAGCAGGGGCCCGACGCCCACCTGCTGCAGGTGCTTGTGCACGCGCGGGAGCAGCCGTCGCAGGAGAGCCGCGAACACTTCAGCGTCCAGCTGCACCGCCTCCTGCAGCCAGGCTCCTCGTCAGGCCGGCTAGCCAGGGCCGCAAGCCCCCACCCCCAACTCCAGGCTTCCGAGCCCCCACTCCCCACGCCCTCACTTCCCATCTTCATCTCCCTGCCCAGCCTCTCACCATGTGAGGCCCATAGTAGCCAGGGAGGTAGACTTCGCAGATCTGCACCAAGCACCAGAAGGCTTCCTGAGGGCAGGGCACAGGCTTGTGAGTGCTCATTAAGGAAGGGTTCACCGAGGGAGGAGAGGTGAGGACAGGCACAGGAGCCTGGACACACACCACTCCCACCCTGTGGCGAGCCTGTCCTGTCCCGGGGGTGAGGGGTTGGAGATCACAGGGCCTGGGGTCCTGTATTTAAGGGCTAAGTTTGAAGCAAAAGTTGGGAGGATCTCAGAGTTTATATCCCAGAATCCTAAGGTCATTGGGGTCCCCACCCAGGGCCAAGGCCATATGCTCCAGATCCTCAGTGTCACAAACTATAAGACAGGAAAAACTGTTGGGTGCAGTGGTGCACTCCTGTAATCCCAGCACTCAGGGAGGCAGAGGCAGGCATATCTCTGTGAGTTCAAGGCCAGCCTGGCCTACAGAGCAAGTCTAGGGCAGCCAAGGCTACACAGAGAAACCCTGTCTCAAAAAATAAAAGAGATAGGGAAAAGCGAAGTGTAGAGATGCTCCTGGCAAGCCTGGGCATGGTATAGAATTCAGGATCGATAGTCAGAATGTCAAAGTGAAAAATTTTCAGACTCCTAGATCGCTGGGGTAAAGGTCAGGATCAAAGGTCCGAGGTTCAGAAGTCAAAGATGATAGACTTAAAGGTTACTGAGACTGGTGGACATGAGGCTTTGGTCACTAGAACATGGTTCTTGAGGTCTGGGTACCTGGGGTTGGGGTCTAAGAGCTCAGGATCACAGGGGCCACAGGTCATTAGGGATTGAGGGTCTCAGAGCAGGGTCAAGGTCACTCACCTCTGGGGGCAGATGCATGAGCAGCACAGCAGCTACAGGGCCCTGAGCCTGGCAATATCCCTGTTCCGGCCGGTACAGGGTGTAGGCCTTGAGAACCTCCATCAGCCCCTGCTGCCTGTGCCAGAAGATCTCATTAGAGCTGGCCTCCTAGGCATCCCTGCCCTGCCCTCTGTGGCCTCTGCTCAGGCCATAGTCTCTCTCAGCCAAGGAAACTGGGCTAAAGAATCTAGTGTGAGGACTTGGGGTCACTGGGCATCCCTGGCCTCGTACCCGTGTCCCTGGGGTGACACAAACATCTCGTGCAGGGGGAACTGGCGGTGCAAGTCCCTGCCGATGGTCTCCATCCACTGTGGGTCTCCAGGGGCCACTGCCAGCTCCTGTGGGTGGCAGGAAAGTGGATGTGAGGGAGCTCTGGGAAGGGAGGAAAAGACTCTGCCAACATTCTCACCTGGTAGATGCCAGGGTTGTTCTTCTTACACATCTGGGCGCCACACAGTAGGGGCCAACACCGGGCCCGCAGAGCTGAGGGGATGCCCTTTCGGCACTGTATCTTTACCTGTGGGTGAGGTCAAGGTGTCCTGTTAGGTCAACCTCTCTTGCTCTTGACGGCAGGCCCCAAGCACAGCTTTTCTTTTCTTTTCTTTTCTTTTCTCTTTTTATTTTTTGTTTTTTGAAACAGGATTTCTTTGTGTAGCCTTGGATGTCCTGGAACTTGCTCTGTAGAGCAGGCTGGCCTTCAGCTCACAGAAATCCACCTGCCTCTGCCTTCAGAGTGATGGGACTAAGGCCACCTTGGCTCAGAGTCAAGCACAGCTTTTCACTGGTCAAGGGTCCACTTGGTGTGGCAGAGGCAGAGTGATTGACAGTTATGGGGACCGTGTACTTAGACCCCCTTTTTCCTCACCTTCTTGTATCTTCGAGACATGGTCTTCTCCCAGTGTGAGGTCATCTCTACCCACTTCATCTCCCGCTGGCGGATGAGATCTGCAGGCGGCTGACTAGGCCTGCAGGCATAGAACACACATAGGTGTATGCCTTGGAACATACACCTTCCCGTTTCAGTCTGTCAGAGAAACCCCAGCTCCTGGTCTGAGGGTCTCTGAGGAGTCCTGGAAAGGGGTCTGTGGCCCAGAAGCTGCCAATGGTTGTTGAAGTAGGGGAATTTGGCTTCTATAGGGACAGAAGCAGGAGAGACAAAAGGGATGAGAAGGTGTATATGGAGGGGAGGGTCTGTCTGGCTGTCCTTCAAAACAGAGACAGAGACAATTCATAGGAGAAGCTGGGTAGACAGTGTCCTGGGCTGGAAGGCAGAAGCCCCGAGTTTGAATCTGCTTCTGTTTCTGATCTGCTGTGATCTGTGTGACGAGTCAAGTTTCTCTCCGTCTCTGGATCTGTTTAAGTGTGTAAGGTAAACCTGAAGAACAGAATGAAGGAGGCACAGATTTCCCTTTCGGGTTCTTGGGCCAGAGATTAAAAGGGGAAAGATGTTCAGCTTTAAGGGAGAATGCAGACCCTCAGAGGACAAAAGAAACATCAGGGATGTTCCCTCCACGACCCTTCTTACCTTAAAATCCCCTCTGGAACCTGAGGAGTGACACTGGCTGAGTTCTGGGCTAGTCTCTACAGTGAGACCCCTGAGGCCAGGCCTAACTCCAGAACTCAGTCCTCAGCCTCTGTACCCACTCTCTCCCCTACCCATGCCTCACTTACCCCAGCTCTGCTGAGTTGCCCCCGATGAAGCCATAGCGGTCTGCCTGGCGATATGGACTGGCCCCACTCAGCTCTGAGTCGGACCCTAGAGAGCTAGAATCATCCTGTAGTTCTGATGGTAGCAACAGATCCTCGCCCAGGGCCTGGGCCATTGTGCCCTAGACCCCAGTGTCACAGGCTGCAAGACATGCAGAGAGCCAGTGTGAGCAGTCAGGAGTAGCCAGACTGAAGCCCGTATTCCAGTCACCAGTCCTCATCCACAGAGGACTCAGCCTCTTCTTTTGCTGAGGAGTAGAGAAGGCCCTGAGGTACCACAAGGCCAAGCCTCCATACAGAGACCCAGCCCCAGGCCTGTCCGCTAGCCCCAGCAGCCCAGCTCACCTCTTTGCTGCACCTCACCTCTCCTCCCACTTCCTCCTCAGTCTCAGCTTAGGCAGCCTGTTGGGGGCCCCTCCCTGGTGGGGGGGACTCCCCCTTCCTCTATGAGGTTCTTCCTGCTTGCCCTAGTGCCCCAGCAGTGAACTCCTCCCATCCACAGGATGCTGGTGTGATGGGTCCCTGGCTTGCGAGATGAAGATGACAGGCCACCATCAGTTTTGAGGTTACTTCTACATAAAACCCAATTCATGGTTCCAATAAGAATTATGCTTTGATGTTTTGGCTTTTTTTTTTTTTCTTCCTGTTTTCTTTGTTTTTGGAGAGTGAAGGGATACCGTCTGGGAACAAGGGTCTCAGGTAGCCTAGGCGGGAGATGGACTCACTGTGTATTTGAGCATGACCTGGAACTTCTGATCCTCCTGTCTCCAGACTCCTGAGTGCTGGGATTTCAGGCATTTTATTTACAGGTTTATGACACCATGTTTCCCTTAATGTTTTACTGTTTAAAAAGAATAACTTTCCTTTTCCTTTCTTTTCTATTGTTTACTTTGAGGGCCAGGGATGGAAGCTCAGGTCTTGCACATGCTAGGTATGTCCAAGTATTCCACAAAGTGCTTACAACATGAACGCAGCGCAATACTATTACATCATTTATGCAAAGAAAAATTAACGTAGCAGGCAGCAAGGCAACCTGCACCAAAACATGCTTAGAGTTTAGTAGCAGGTGTTCATGGGTCTGGCCACAAAGATGGAAGTTAATGCGGGTCTCTGGGAAGCCTTAGAGTGGGCTCTGAGTATCGTTGAGCCTTAGTTTCTTGTTCTGCACTTCGAGGAATTGCTTTACAGTGTTTGAGAAGCCAGTGGTTAACGTGCTCACACCCCTGGCTGGTGGAGGGAAGAGACTTGGGGAGAGAAAAACAATTTCTACAGTCCTTCCGGGCCCTAACTCCTCGGAACGCCTCAGGACCGTTCCTTCAGGGCGGAGCCGACCCAACTCCGCCCTGCCAACCCCCGCCCACCACCCCCAGCAAGGCCCCGCCCGGCCGCCCGAGGCTCTCACCGGCCGCGGCGCTTCTCGTCCCGCGGGGGCGCTAGAGAGCCGGCAGCCGCGGGTGCGGTGGGGAGGGGCGGCAGGCCCGGGAGGCGGGGCGGAGGGCCGGGGGCGGGCTGGGGCGGGCGGAAGGAGAGCTAGGCCGGAAGGAGGCTGCAAGAGGGCGGGAGGCAGGAGAGGGCCCGGAGCTGCTGGGCCGGAGCGGCGGCGCCGCCATGTCCGACAGCGAGAAGCTCAACCTGGACTCCATCATCGGGCGCCTGCTGGAAGGTGGGCAGGGGCAGGGAAGGTGCGCGCGCGCCGAGCCCGGGCCCCTAGCCGTCCGGAAGTGGCGCGCGGGCGGGCCTGCCGCTCCCGGGGGCCAGCGTCGCTTGGGCGGGGACAGGCCGTGAGGTCCCGTGGCCACGGCGGCGCCCCCCCACACACACACACCCCGCGCGCCGCGGCTTTGGAGCGCTCTCGGGGCCCGGGGACGCTCGGGTGGCCCGGACCCAGGGTGGGGAAGGCTGCGAAGCTCTCTGGGAAGGGGTCCAGGAGCGAGGAAGCTTCGGTTGACAGGCTTCCGAGTACAGCCGTGTCTCACCGGAGGGCCTCCGGGGTGGCTGAGGGATCGGGTCTTGCCTTCGGAGGCCTGATGCAGATGTTTCGGGGAGGCTCCCTGGCAACAGTTGCCCGTTGTTGGGGTGTATGAACCTACTCCCATCCTGTCTGCGAGGTCAGGGTCCCAAGACCCCATTCCGTACCCAGTGCAGGGCTCACGGCCTGGAAAGAATGTGCAGCTGACAGAGAACGAGATCCGTGGTCTGTGCCTCAAATCCCGGGAGATTTTCCTGAGCCAGCCTATTCTTCTGGAGCTTGAGGCGCCTCTCAAGATCTGTGGTGAGCCCTTGCTTAGAACCCCTTAGCGTCCTGAAAATATCCCCCACTCCTGCCTCAGTACTTGCCTTACTTCTCCCTTTAGCCCATTGCTGGCTCTGGGTTCAGGTTCAGATCTTGCACCTACCTAGTCTTTGGTTCCCAGGTGACATCCACGGTCAGTACTATGACCTTCTACGGCTGTTTGAGTACGGTGGCTTCCCTCCAGAGAGCAACTACCTCTTCTTGGGGGACTATGTGGATCGGGGCAAGCAGTCTTTGGAGACCATCTGCCTGCTCCTGGCCTATAAGATCAAATACCCTGAGAATTTCTTTCTGCTTCGTGGGAACCATGAGTGTGCCAGCATCAACCGCATCTATGGCTTCTATGATGAGTGTGAGTGGGATGTTGCTGGTTGCCCAGAACGACATTCCCTGTTCTTCATGGGTCCCCTACATTGGTCTGCTGCCAAAAGACCCGTGGTGTAGGATGAGCCCTGTAAGACCCCAACATGCTGTCATGCATGGCACTCAGGAAGGGCCTGGTGAATGGATGTACGATCCGTCACTAAGCATTTAGGGTGCCAGTATAAATAAACCAGACCTGCTTTTGGGTTGGCCTTATTCATGGGACCAGAGTGGGTGTGAATATGAAGGCTGGGCCAGACTGGAGTTGAGGTTCCTGTGGGCCCAGGTGTTGGAATTCTGGAAGGTAGATGAGGTTAGAGCAAGGAGAGGGACTTAAGCCTTCCTTGCCTTCCAGTCTTTCTTCCCAGCATTGCCAGAGTAACCCACAGTTACTAGGAATTCACAGAGAACTAGACTGAGGGTTTCGTGTGGTGGGTGGTCTTCTCCTTGAGCCATTTCCTTCTCCTGTACAGGCAAGAGAAGGTACAACATCAAACTGTGGAAAACATTCACTGACTGCTTCAACTGCCTGCCTATCGCAGCCATTGTAGATGAGAAGATCTTCTGCTGCCACGGAGGTAAGAGCTTATGGAGTCTGTGCTTGGGGTTCTTGGGCCTCATCCTTGGGTAGGGGCTTTGAGAAGTTGTTAGCAGAACTCTTCCCAGTTTCCTGGAATAGCTCTTCTTGAATCTCATCTTGGATATCACTTATTGTAGGAAGTCACCCACACCCCAATTTGGCTGCACTCTTTCCTGTTGTGGCATTTGGTATCCTGTACGCAACTCCCTCATCTCTTTCCCCCATGGAGGTCTGATCTTTGCCCTTTGTTATTTCGAGAGACAGGCTTTCTCTGTGGGACACTGACTGTTCTGAAGCTCTCTTTGTAGACTAGGCTGGCTTTCAGCTCACAGAGATCTGCCTGCCTCTGCCTCCAAAAGAGCTGAGAATAAAGGCATGTGCCAGCATGCCCAGCTTGCTTTTTTCAATTTTTTGGTTTGTTTTTTTTCCAAGACAGGGTTTCTCTGTGTAGCCTTGGCTGTCCTGGACCCACTTTGTAGACCAGACTGGCCTCAAACTCAGAGATCCACCTGCCTCTGTCTCCCGAGTGTTGGGATTACAGATGTGTGCCTTTGAGCCTGGCTGCACTCTTTTGCACTTTCGGAAGTTGTTCTACTTGCCTGAACTTCAGGAGTCCAAAAGAGGACCCCAATGGTGGTGGGGAGACTAGGGCTCATTCCCAAGAGCTCTGGGCATGGGAGAGTTCTTGCTTTTTTGGTTTAAGGAATGGTACTCCTCCCTTCCAGGCCTGTCTCCAGATTTGCAATCCATGGAGCAGATCAGGCGTATTATGCGGCCCACAGACGTGCCTGACCAGGGCCTACTGTGTGATCTCCTGTGGTCTGACCCTGACAAGGATGTTCAAGGCTGGGGCGAGAATGACCGCGGTGTCTCCTTTACCTTTGGGGCTGAGGTGGTAGCCAAGTTCCTGCACAAGCATGATTTGGATCTCATCTGCAGGGCCCATCAGGTGGGCTGGTGGCCCTGGGGCAGGCTGGGGATGGCCAGCTACTTAACTTGTGGACCAAACAGTTCCTGTCGCTGCCTAGGTTGTAGAAGATGGCTATGAGTTCTTTGCCAAGAGACAGCTGGTGACACTCTTCTCAGCTCCAAACTACTGTGGGGAGTTTGACAATGCTGGTGCCATGATGAGCGTGGATGAGAGCCTCATGTGCTCCTTCCAGGTAAGTGCTGCGGGGAAGAGGCTGCCAGTCTGCCTGGCTCAGCACCAGGAGCCTGACCAGTGTTTTCTCTTTCAGATCCTCAAGCCCGCTGACAAGAATAAGGGGAAGTACGGGCAGTTTAGTGGCCTGAACCCTGGAGGCCGTCCCATCACCCCACCTCGCAACTCTGCCAAAGCCAAGAAGTAACCTCCATGTGCTGCCCTTCTGCCCCAGATGATGGATAACTTGTACAGAAATCATGCTGCCATGGGTCACACTGGTCCCTCAGGCCCACCCGTCATGGGGAATACACAGCGTTAAGTGTCTTTTCCTTTATTTTTTAATGAATCAATAGCAGCATCTAATCCCCCAGGGCTCCCTCCCACCAGCACCTGGTGGCTGCAGTGGAATCCTGGGGCCAAGGCTGCAGCTCAGGGCAATGGCAGACCAGATTGTGGGTCTCCAGCCTTGCACGGCTGGCAGCCGGATCCTGGGGGCAACCTATCTGGTCTCTTGAATAAAGGTCAAAGCTGGATTCTCGCCATGGCCTCTGTCTACTTATACCAGACAGTGGGCCAGCAGCCCTTTGGTACAAAAGCCACCTGGGAGGGCAGACTAAGTCAGGTCCAGGGGCTATTAGGATTCCAAGCCAAGGCCCAGCAGGTCTCAGAGGTTTGACAAACAGTTCATGATTGGCAGGGGGTTGTCAGCACTGTGACCTTTTTTAAAAAAAGGTAGGTTTCTAGCTCTTGCTAGATGCTGGAAATCTGGCCTGAGGCTCTGCGGTAAGAGGTAGGGAAACTGTCAGGTGGCAGCTGGGCACCAGAAAGAGACATGATTGGTACAGGTTGAGTGAATATAGACCAAACATGGTTGCCTGAGCAACTCTGCAGCAGCCAGCCAAGTAGGGCCTACCACAGGCATAGCCTGTTTTTCTATGCCCAGCTCTGCCAGTGGCTAGGCCTGCTTCTGGCCCATGAGTCTTTGGACACAGACTTCAGTTTCTCAAGTTCAGCCTTCACCATCACTGTCTTCAGCCAGCACAGGGCTGGTACCCTGGGGGGATTGTACAGGGGCCAGGATGGAGCCAAAGAAAAGTGAATGAAACTGGAAAGAGAACAGAGAAAACCCAGTTAGCTCTGGAGGCTGCTGCTTTCCTCACCTCTTGGTTCCTATCCCACCCTCCAGCTCCCTCCAGCTCCCTCCAGCTCCCTCCAGCTCCCTCCAGCTCTTACCTTCTTGGGTGGGGGGGTTCCAGGCACTGTACTGGGTTCAGCTTCCTCCTCTGAGGGGGAGCCAAGGTCATGGGAGGTCTGGGGGACAGGTGGGAAGGAAGTGGAAGGCTGTGCCCGGGAGCCCTCGCTGCCCACGCTGGTTTCCATGGCAATCATGTAACAGTCGATGTCATCGTTGGTAAAGTCATCTAAGTGGGGTACACTGTAGGCAGAGATAATGTCAGCAAGGAACAGGAAAGGAGGGATACAGAGGCAAGCCCCACTTTGGAGGGCTCTGAGGCCTCAAGACTGCTGGTGAGCTTTTGGTTTTATTACTTCCTGATTTGGCTGGAAGGAAAGGATGCAGGGGTTAAGTGGGAGCTTCCTGGAGGGGGTAGAACTGGAACCCCTTTGATCAGAGTTCAGGTAGGGGCCCCATGGGACGCATCCTGGGGACCAATTTAGCTCAGCTGGGGGAGGGAAGCAACAAGTCCTGTGATCAGGGCCACATGGGGCCCAATCCTGCACCTTCCCAGGGGACAGGAGCTGGAGAGCACCAGAGCCCAGGGATGTGCTGGGCTGAGAGCCAGACCAAACTTCCTCTGCTTCTACTACACTGAGCCCATCCTCCCAACCCACCTGCCCTTCCAGCCACCTGCTTCCCCTCACCAGGCAGCTCCCTGCCTCCCAGCAGCCCTTCCCCTCCCAGTCTGGGAGGTGGCTCAGAGGGGAGGCCTCAGCCAGAGAAGGAAGCCAGCAGGACCTTGGGGATGCCTCTGGATGGGAGGGGTCTCAGTACAGCTGACTCTGAAGGCTGGAAGCCCTGTAAAGGCTGGAAGCTCTGTAAAGGCTGGGCCTGACAGGAAGTATGTACTGGGGGAGGTGCAGAAGCCTAAAGTAGCAGGCTCAGCCTGAGATGTGCAGAAATGGAGGAGAACTGGGTACTGGGTACCCTTACCTGTGAACCTGCTTCTGAGGCACTGGCTGGTGGGGCTTTGGGGAGCACAGGTCCTGGGAACATGGGTCTTGCTCTAAGAGTGTGGCCAAGACAAAGTGGGCATCCAGTAGAGAATCCTCAATGGAAAAGATGACTGGCCTGGGTAACAGGATAGGGGCAAGCTAGTTTCTCTTGCCTGCTCTGGGCAGCCCTACCTCCTCTCCAGTCTAAAAGCCTGGAATTACCTGCCTGGAACATCAAAGTGGATGGTAAGAGGCAAATTTGCTGACTCTGCAAAGCTCAGCAGCCCCTGGGAAGGAAGCAGCAGGTAGTGAGCGCTGGTGTTGGGTTGAAAGACTGGGTGAAGGCAGTAGTTAACTCACCCGGAATTCTTTGAGGCAGAAGGTGACAGCTATCCCTTCAGGGGCTTGCAGCTGCTGGAAGTCCTCCGCCCCAATGCTGGTCTCTGTCACCATGGCTTTGCTGGTGTTATCTATGTGAGTTAAAAAGCCCTTGAGTCGGGGCTGGAGAGATGGCTCAGAGGTTAAGAGCACTGTCTGCTCTTCCAAAGGACAAGTTCAATTCCCAGCACCCACATGGCAGCTCACAACCATCTATAACTCCTATTCCAGGGGACCCAACCCCCTTTCACATGCAGACAAAACACCAATGTATATTAAAATAAAAATAAAAACTGAAAGTCCTTGAGTCCAGGCTTCAGCCCTAGCTCTGTTCCCGCCTGGGACAGGTCTAACTCCCTCACCTGCCTCTTCCTCCTGATAGCTTCGCAGGATGACTCGTCGGCCGCGGCCAATGCCCAACGTCACCTCAGTCAATGCAAGGGGAAAGGACAGAACAGCCTCTGCCAGAACCCTGTGACAAGGGCAAACAGCAGATGTGCATGAAGTGCTCTGCCCACGCTGGAGGAGAGGAGGTGCGCCAGCAGGGTATGTTGCCTGCCTGGCTCAGAAGCATTTCAGGTGACGGGAGCACAAACTAAAGGCTACACGCAGTAGGATGGGCAGGCAACACTGGATGGTGCGGGAACAGAGGGCTATTTGCTAAGGGGCCCAGGAAACACTTGACTGCCAGGCAAAGGCCTGCGCCATCTCTGGTACAGAGGGGGGAAGAAAGGAAAGCTGCGTGTAGGAGCACACTGCTGTTAGTCCCAGCTACTTTTGGGGGAATGGGGTGGGGGGGTGTTCTTTATATGTAGCCCTGGCTGACCTCAAACTTAGAGCAATCCTCCTGCCTTCTTGACTCTACGTCTTAAAGAGCTGGGGTCAAAGGTGTGCACTATCATACCCAGCCCAGCTACTGAACACAGGAACTCAAGAACAGCTTGTGTAAAATAGCAATACCTTGTACCTATACACAAAAATGAAAGCGGGTAGATCCTTTTGGTGGGGGTAGGGGTGGAGATATGTTGAGACACAGTCTCACTGTATAACTTGGGCTGGCCTTGAACTCACAGAGATCCATCTGCCTCTGCCTCCTAAGATCTGGGATTAAAGATGTGGGCCACCAAGCCAAACCTTGGGTCCCATCTTCTAAGGATACATAACAACTGACCATTTACAAAAAGGTAACCTGGATTTGCCTCAGGACAAGTTTGGGAGCTGGGAATATAGCTCAGTGCAATGTATGGTCTTTGGGTTCCATCCCTAGCACTGGGGTGGGGGTGGAGTGCCTGGCATCTATATTTGACATTTTAAAAATTATTTTGTGTGGGTGTGTGCTGTGGAGGGAAGAGCAGCTCAGATGCCCTGGTGCACATGTGGAGACCAGAGAACAACCCACAGAAGTCAGCCGTCTCCTTCCACTGACAACTCAGGTCGTCAGGCTTAAAGCAAGAGCCTTAGCTGCCGAGCCATCTTACTGACTTCTGTATTTGAAATTATGCGAAAAAGAAAAGCAGCTGGAGCTGGGAATGTACCTTAGTGGTAGAGTATCTAGCAAGCACAGGTCCTGGGTTCTGATGGGTTCCAGTGTTTAGAGAAAAGAAGAAACAGCCTCTGGTGCCTTTTTCTCTCCAAAACAGAATTCGGTCACTATTAACAGACCCTAGGGAAGCTGATATTGGGACCTGAAGGGACTTTCAGCCTCTGAGAAATGCTTGGGAGCGTGGGCTACTTGAATGAAACGTGTCCAGCAGAGGCAGGGGAGAGTCCACAGCATTCTGGGCTGCTCTTGAGGGACCTTAGGCCCGCTGGAGCCCACATCCTCCATGCCTGCCGTCTCCTAATGGTGACTAGTGAGTTGTGCGACAGCCCTCCTGGACTCCAGCTTCCTTGCCCAAGTTCTTCCTTTGGCCCAGAGCCATGAGCCCTGGCAGTTAGCAAGAAGTCACTGTAAGAGGCACCACCAGAAGAATGAGCAGGTCAGAGGGCTTTCAAACTGTCACACAGGGCCAGCCAAGGCTTCAAGGCTATTCAAGTCATTCAACAGACCTGCAGGCAGGTCACAGCTGCTCTCTAGAAAAGCAGTCAGGGCAGGCTTGAGAGGCAGAAAGCCAAGCCAGGCCTCTGGGATACAGAAGGCAGGACCCCACAGTCAATGGAAATGGGGAGGGGCAGCAGCCTCTGCTTTTGAAGAACCAGGAAAAGGCCCAGATGTGTACTGGGCTGTGTGGTCTCATAAAGAGAAAGGTGCCTCTATGTAGTTATGTATGAATGTACAGGAGCAAGCAGAAGCCAGAAGACTTCCTCAGGTGGTGGTTCTTCTCAAGTGCTGTCAACCTTGTTGGGGGGGGGGGGGGGCTGTTTTGTGTGTGTGTGTGTGTGTTTGTTTGTTTGTTTGTTTTGAGACAGGGGCTCTCACTAGACTGGGACTGTGAGTCCCAGGAATCCCACTTCTACTCTCCAAGGACTAGAACTGTAAGTGGATACCACCCTTTTGTTTTGTTTTCCAAGACAGGGTTTCTCTGTGTAGCCCTGGCTGTCCTGAAACTTGCTCTGTAGACCAGGCTGGCCTTGAACTCACAGAGATCCGCCTGCCTCTGCCTCCCAAGTGCTGGGATTAAAGGTGTGGGCCACAGACCAGAGGATATCACACTTTTGTTCTGTTTAGCCTTGGCTGACCTGGACTCACTCTGTAGACCAGGCTGGCCCCGAACACAGAGAGATCCCTCTGCCTCTGCCTCTCAGAGTGCTGAGATTACAGGTGTGCGATACCATGCCCAGCTGATGCCACACATTTTTATATGAGTTCTGGGACTCAAAACCAGGCCTTCATGCCTGTTCATAAAGCATCTCCCCAGCACACACACCCTTTTTGAGACAGAGCCTCATATAACCTAGACCAGTCTGGAAACTCACTGGCCTTGAAACTTCTGAACCTCCCATCTCCATCTAAGAGCTGCTGGGATGACAGGCATGGGCTAACCAGGCCTGTTGAAAATAGTGTATTCCTAGAATGACACCTAAAGCCCCAAAGATGGAAGACAGAGGCTCCCGCTAAGTTTGAAGCAGGTGTTCTTACCGTGCTGGGGTACAGAGCAAGTGGGGGCATGAGGCTGGGTTGAAGATGGCCTGCAGGGATTCACAATCCTGGAAGGAGAGGTTGTGTGTCTTCTTGACGCCTGGGTAAGAGGAAACTGTCTCAGCGGGCTGGACAACCTTCACTTCCCCCCCACACCCGTAGAAGGGACTCTTGGCTGATCAGTGGCTTGCTCACCATACTTGCAGTGGAGCTGGACCACCAGGTGGCTGGTGCCACTGAGGGAGATGCAGCACTTTTCCACAGTCTTCTCCACCATTGCCAGAGAGCGGAAGACGGACAGGAAGGACTGGGCAGGGTAGGACATCGGCCTGGCACTGTGCCTCCATAGACCAGTTCTACATCCCATGTAGGCCCTGGTCCACTGCTGGCCCAACAGAGCTGCGAAATGGGCTCCCACTACACGCAGGATGTCGGCACACTTCCAGGCCTTGTCCATGGTGTTCCCTTTGCTGGGAAGGGCTGCTAATCTTTTCTTGACCAACCTGAATGTCACCACCCTCTCCACAGCTCTTACAACCTCTCTAGAGTCTCAGCATCTTTAGACTGCATCTTTCCCGGAATCGTTCCCATCTGAGGCTAACTCCCTAATCATTATTTACTGAGTACCCTGGCACAGAGGCACAGCTGTGGAGATGCTTCGGGTGGTCCATACCTTCATCAGGATCTTACAGCGCTGCGGGTCCTGACCAGGGGAAGCGGCCTGGTACTGCTGGAAGAAGAGTGGGGCAAAGAGGAAGCAGGCATAGGCAGAGCGGGAAGAGTTCACAGTCCGGAGGGAGAGCTGAGACACAAAAAGCAGGGAGACACGGTCAGGGGCAAAGGCAAACAGCAGGCCCATCCCAACGGCCTGCTTTTTCGTCCTATAGCTGTCCTCTCCCATCTCTTACTGAGACTCCCCTTCCGTGTAGCAAGGCCTTCTGCATACAGACCTCCCAGTCTTCCGTGGCCCAGGCTCTGCCACTCTTGCTTTTTCCCTACGTTACTTTAGCCCCACTAGCGGTTCTAGGGAGCGCAAGTGTCCTCTGCAGCCCCAGATGACAGCTCAAGCAGATGGCACAACTCAAGAGGAAATAAACTGCGCCGAAATACCTGTTCACCATCTTCCTGAAAGACAGAGCAGGACTCCCCACTCGCCACTGAATCGGCCCCCATCCCTGCACCCTAGACTCTTACCCCGTCCTTCAAGGGCTCCAGATACAGCTCATCCCCGATTCGAGATAGTGAGTGTACAGCCTTGCCCAGCACTGCGGGGAGGAGAGCAGATGGTAGTTTAGGGGGACTCATCGGGCTTGCTTACGCCGCCAAGCAGGTCGAGACTCACCCTTCACGTTGCCGCCGGTGATCAGGCACTTCATGATGCACCAGCACTGAACTCGAGCCTAACCTGCAACCAGATCGGGACGGGAGCCTACCCACAGCGAGTCCCCGCAACCACGGAAGCCTGCAGTTCCTTTCCCCGCCAGCCCGGCTTCCGCATCCTTATTGGTCCACTGGGGGCACCTCCGTCACGTGAGAAAAACGTTCCCCAGGCTCGGCTGTCACGTGACCTAGCCAGTTCCCGGGGTGTGGCCTGCGTCACGTGACTCCAGAGTGCGCTCTCCTGCGTCATTCATCAGGTTTGGGTTTCCCAGCCCAACCCTAAACCTCCACACCCTGCAGAGCGCTGCAGCTGGTCTTGGCACCCCGGGGCACTTGTGATGAAGGGCACGTAGGACACTGTTCGGTGTGAACTTGGGAGGTGTAGACCCTTCCGCGTCGCTAAACTACAGTGAATGGGGTTACAGGGTCAAAGCAAGATAATCCGTGCTCAGCCTGGGTTGGGGACTCTGTCGCGGCAGCAACCACCAGCTCCCCTCTCCCCCCTCCCCCCCCCCGAAAAGTTAGCGTAACTTGCTCCAAGGACCATGAGAAGGAAGGGGCTGTCCATTCTGGTTTCAGGATCCTTCACTGATGCCCATAGATGCACGGAAAGTTCAGAAGGTTCTGGGACAGGAAAGGGTAGAAGGGCTAGTCCTGACAGGAGCAGCATCAGCAGAGGGGCGATGGCGTGAGGCCATCTACATAGGGGCATGTGCGTGAGTGGGATGTCCTGAGCCTTGCGGGGGAGGGGGTAGGAGGGTGTCGGGACTGAAGCGATGAACTGGAAAGCCCTGCAAAGGCTTAAGCACTACCCAAGTTTGTGTGCATTTTACCAATTACCCAGACAGTATGAAAGCAGGAGGGTTATCAGCTGGATGCAGTCACCTTGCCCTGGGTGTTAGTTCTCTCAAGTGTGGAAAGAGCAGCCTGGAGCAACATTTGCCCTTTGCCCCTGTGACCCGTGTGGCTCTGTGGGTAATGGGGAGGCTGTATTTATTACCTAGCCCTTCGTTGTTTTTCTGGGCTCTTTTCCTCCTCCAGCGTTTTGTCCTTAAAGCCTCCTGGGAGGAGGCTGCTTTCCCTTTCCACATCCACAGCAACCAGTGCAGATGTAGAAGCCTCCAACTCGAGGCTGGGAGATCCGCCGCAGTCTTCCCCGCCACACTTGTTCAGTTCTTCAGTGGATTCTGGCTGCTTCATTTCCCGATCAGATGGCAATGTGACCCTCCTTCCATCTCCACTGCCCTGCTGCTTTCACCTGGCCAAACACACAGTTCTCCGTGATCTGCCTCCACCGGTTTAAGTTTCCTGGCCAAAGTCCGGTCTCTTGGTCTGGAATTTTCAGACCCAAGTCTCACCCGTTTCCACTGTCTTCCCATCTCTAACGCCCTGTCAGGCCCTTGACCGCCACATAGGTTGCTTCCAAGACTGTGGCTTGCTTCTCCCATGCTGGCTTCTCTTCCTGGGCTCAGCATCAAAGGTTCCCTCAGCGAAGGAGACTTTGGTCAGCCTGGGCAATATAGCAAGACCCTGTCCCCCACCCCCAAAAAGAAAAGAAGTTAAACATGTGGCACCGTTAAGCCAGATTGCTCCAACAAACCACCCCATAACATGGAGAAAAAGAAATCTAGCTCCCACCCTCTGCCCACAGTGCCCCCTTTTCTGATAACATTACTCTTCCCATACTCAGCCTCCCAAAATGTAACTACAGGCAAGGTGGTGAAGACTTATAATCTCAGGTTCTTGGGAAGCTGACACAAATTCAAGGCCTACTGAGATTACATAAGAGAGTTCAAGGCCAGCCCTGGCAACTAAGTGAGAAACCCAGCTGACGGGCCAGGGATGAAAGTGCTTGCTGTGCAAGTCCGACAACAGGGGTTCAACTGCCAGAAGCCAAGAAAGGAGAGGACTGATTCCAGAAAGTCGTCCTCTGACTTCCACAGTTACTCTGTGGCATGCAAGTACTGGCAATCCCAAACGCACTAATAATAGATGAAAGAAAAATAATAAAGGGCTGGAATGTATCTCTGAGTAGAGCACTTGCTAAACGGTCAAAAAGCCTTGGGTTAAGTCAGGCCTGGTGGGGAACACCTTTAATCCCAGCACTCCTGAGGCAGAGGCAGGCAGATCTCTGAGTTCCAGGCCATCCTGGCCTACAAAAAAGTCCAGGACAGCCAAGGCTACACCCAGAGAAACCCTTTCTCGAAAAACCAAAACCAAACAAACAAAAGCCCTGGGTCAATCCCTGGTACCAACAAGATTTAGCTGTTGACTTCCTGTTTCTTCCTTCCAAGATATCCTGCCACCCTCCAGGACTGGGTCAAGCGTGGTCTTCAAACATCCTCCACTTCCTCTTCTAACTCCTGCCTGAGTAGCTAGACTCAACAGGAGACAGATGACAAGGTTCTCTGGAAGCAAGGGAGACGGCTGCTGATTGACCCGTTTCTGGCCCGACATGCTGGATGTAAGATGCTATCTACCTGAGGACATACATGCTAGGAAAAGGAGAAAGGAGTTTCTTTGGAGTGGCCACCCTCCTGTGCCCTTCCTCAGTGCCAGAAACCTCTGTCATACACTGGGCTGAGGGAGGGCAGGAAACAGGTGCTTGCCCAGACCCCTTCCAACCTGACGCTTAGATCCTGAAGCGCTTCCCTGGGCTGTAACCCTGGGATGCAGCTACTTCTACATGCCTGGGTTGTGAGTGTAGTAGGAAGCTTTCCAATCCACCTCTTCGTTGTGCAGTTGGAGCATCCAGTCGTGCGTGTTTGCCCCAGAAGCAAAGAAGAAGAAGAGAGGGAGCTGGGACCCATGGGGTCCTGGTTATGCTGGGTAGGAGATGGATCACCCAAAGAGGACTTGCGTCCATCCTGAAAGTTAGTCGAGCAAGGTGTGGCTCTAGCTCTGCTCACAGATGGCCTGGAGCAAGTCAAGGCCCCTCACTGTATCTCCCTCAAATTCAGCTGGATGAGATGACAAGATTCAGCCGCCAAACTCAACAGTGTTTACCTCACCCTGTGTTAGAGGCAGCTTCCTACAAGTAGGTACATCTGTGTAAATGCAGGTGTGTCTAGGGATGTCGATGAAGAGTGGTTGCCTTTCATATCTTTAAAATCGCTACCTGTCAGGGATCCCTTCCCTTCAAGTGCTACTTCTCACCCAGCTGGTTAGGGCTGAATCACAGGAAGCCCAAAACTGGGATTTGGTGCTCAGCCACTTACTACTTCAACACACACTGGGTGCGATTTTCCAAGTGTGGGACAGAGACAAACTGGAGGTCCCTGAGCTCGGAGTACAGTATTTATCTACAGGTGCCACAGTCGGACAGAGGGGTGCTGGGGGAGGACAGTCTCCTCAAGAACAGTAGGGCCAGGTTAGACATTTGCCCGAAGACCTGAGGGCATGAGCTTCACCAGTAAGAGTCGAAGCTCGGGGGCTGGGGCCGGGAGGAGGCTTCCCAGGGACCTAAACTAACTGGAGACAGCTGACAAAGAACAAAGGCTCACAAAGTCAGTGTGAAGCTGCACCTTGGAGAAGGGCAGGAATCTGTGACTCCGGGAACATGCTGTCCGTCAGAATGGGGATATCAGGAGAGGCTCTGTCCCTTCTTAGGTCCTATGCAGTCCTACTTATAGACAAACAGGTGGGGTTACTCTGAGAGTTTTATCAGACTGGAGTAATTAAAAACCAGAAGGACAGAGGAGTTTGGTGAGTTGGGGTTCATTTGGGTTTGTCTTGATCTCGGCTGTACATTCAGGATATGGCATTTATGTGGTTACTCTGGGATAACCAACTGGGCATGGCAGCTCTGAGCTGTTGGGGCACTAGGAAGGGAGAACAGCACTTGGCCTGCTTGCAATCCATGTGTAGCACACCAGGTGCTGCCAGCCCCCACTGCCAAGCCCTGCCCAGGCTTTCTTGTTTCCTGGCATTTGTCCCAGCAATCAGAACAATGTTTGGCACGTAGCATTAGTTTGATGCATCTATGCTGAATAACTGAAGAGCAAAGACTCAGAACCTTTGCAAGCCTTGAATCCAAGGTTGTCTGCTGAGACACAGAATAAGGTCTAGGACACAGAATGAGGTCTAGGTTCAGGTCTGCTGGGGTCTGAATCCATCACAAGTTGTGTGAAAATGGGCATTCGGCTGGTCTTCTCAAAGTCTGTGTTTTCTAATGTATGGACTGGAGTTACTTAGAGTCCCTCCTTCAAGGAGCTACTGTGCACATGTATTTAGTTCATGTATGCAAAGGAAGCTCCTCCAATATGCTATTGAATGATGATGGCATTCTACCTGCTCTGTCTGTGTAGTCCATCCTTACTGTAGCCTGAACATCAGAGAGGACAACAGGGCACAGCATCAGCTTACACCAGGGTGGAGCACACAGTAACCCTGGAGGGACATCTCCCCAGTGAGATGGTATAGAGAAAGGATGGAGCCCACAGGCTGGAGAGTGCACAGGCTCTGTCTGACGGAAGGGAGAACTGGTCCCTGAAAGCAGGCTGCTGCTGCTTTGAGCCCCCACATGTGGTCCTTCGGTTCTGGGCTCTCGCTGCTCCTTAGCCTCCAGAGCAGGGAGAATGGGAGTGCTTATGCTTCCCAAAATCTCCTGGAGGCTCCCATGAGATAAAGATGTGGCCACACTCCAGACAGACACACAGACACGGTGAACACATGAGGGACCAGGTCTTTTCAGTCTGCAGGGCTGGAAGTGGAGGGGAGATGGAATGGAATTTTTCAAACCCCCGGGGGGATGGAAAGGGGGAAGCTCAGCTTGTTCACCAAAACCTGGCATGCTGGAGTTACAGGGCCCCCTTGGAGTGCAAGTGAGGTAAGTTTAGGACAAATCAAAGGCAGCATGCTTCACCCAGCAGGGGAGGACACCGATGGAACTCATTACCCCAAGATGTGGTCCCGGTTGGAAATATAAATAGCTTCACAAAAGGTTTAGATAAATCCATGGATGACAGCTCCATTCATGACTTAGAAGGGGAAAGAGGCTGTTTGGGGGCCCCCTGGGCAGGCATCAGGGAGGCAACCTGACCTCCCTAAAGACCACCCCTTGGGGGTCCAGTTAAAGAAAAGCTTCTGGCCACAGGGCTTCCAGAAGGTGACGCTGGTGTTTCTGTGCACCAGGGTGTGGCCTGAGTCCCCTGTGTGCTCAGCTTCCCCGACATTTACCAGCCACTGCTGGGGAGACATGGACATCAACCAGCTCTGGGGAAAGCAGTTCAGCCAGGTTGTCCCCTATGGGACCAGCAGAGGGAGACAGACACCACATCCACTCCCAGATCCCAGTGCAAAGCCAGGGCGGCTGGCCTGACCCAGGGTCAAGCATGCCTCTGTGGGTACCGGTCTTGGGTCCTGCCTTATGCTAGGTCCCATAGGAGAAAGGGGGCAAAGAAGGTACCCTCCCTAGGACTTGCTAGTGGACATGAAGGTGGGAAGGGGCTTTCAGGGATATAAGGACAGAATAAGGAAGGGGCCACCTA